CCAGAGGAATACAAGAAACTTGCCGAGCGGTGTTGTGATGCTGATCCTGATAAGCGTCCTGATGCACGGACACTTTACAATGATATTAGCAATCTTATTTATAATGTGAAAGAGGATGACAATGTGTGGAATGCCGTTTATCATACTGACGTAAAGCCGTTATCACGTCTCGAGAAGGAGAGTAAATATTCTAGTACGCTTTTACCTACTGGAGATTTACCCAAACCAAAAAACGGCTATGTTTTGGATTCAGCTGCAGGTATGTTACAAGTTGGTACAAATAAAGTCAATTTACAATATTACAGTGTTAACACTTATTTCTTATAATGTAGCAACTCAAACTCTTTTTGAATAAATTCATAATTTACGGTTTATTATTATATGGTTTTATTCAAAGATTCGAATTATACGATGTACTTCTACATATGTCAATATGGATAGACGCTGAAATAAAGTCATGTTTACCGTTAGCTGCCTTTTCCGGGCAGAGTATTAGAAAATATAAGAAAATTGTTAACATTGAGAACTATTTATTTAAAAAAATACGTACGCCGACTAATACAAAATTCGTCACGGAATAACTTCGAAACTTGAGTTTATCACTTGACTCAGATCCAAAGCTGTGTTTATTGTGCGACCTAAACAAAATAATAACGAATCCGACGATCAATTCTACTGGTTTAATCGAAAATCTTTTGATATATCTAATTCGGTAATATTCGATTAAATCTAATATCACAAAGACAAAACGAAGATGCTGTATAATTAAAATGCCTGAATAAGTAGTTAACTTTAAGGTTTCCACAACAACGCAATAGTAAGCACGTAAAGACAATTTACAATACGTAAGCACAATGACGAAAGATGTTATATTAAAACTTTCTCGACGATAGATTTGTTATCAATCCACAGCAAAGAACTATAAACTGGCAGGCCATTGCTTTATCACCACTTTGCTATGTATACCTAATGTATGTCATGTCACGGTTTACTGAACGCGGTACGGAATTGTAGTCTAACATAACGTTCACTGTTAATAGGGTCATAAAATCAGCATCACTTTAGAAAAATTAGGAATTCCTTACAAAGTCCACAACGTCGCGTTGACTTCAGGGGAACAAAAAAAAAGAAGTACGTGTAAAGCGTTGTCTGATAATACTGATCGAGAAACACCGCGAAAAATTTTTATAAAGCGTATTTACATTTTCTATTAATTAGAATACCGGCCATGGTTGATCACTTACGTGATAATTTCAGCGTGTTTGAAAGTGCTGCCATCATGCTCTATCTAGGCAAACATTATGGCCCAGAAGGCAAACTGTTACCCAAGGATCCAATCTGCGTGGGGAGACTATCCAATGGATACGCATATCAAAATGTCTTTTGCATTACGTAAGAGAGAGAGCTGATAAGCAGATACTTTATTGATTAGTTTGACACGTTTTTTGTAGATAATGTTCTAAATTAGTGGTTTGGGTCCAATGCTAGGTCAAGCATACCATACTCCAGAGGAGATTTCATACAACATTCGTCGATACTATAAGAAAACTCAGACTGTTTGGTGTAAGTTTTGCTGCTGATACGCGCGGTTTATTAGCATGCATCGACGTTAGTTTATTATTGACTATGTTCTCAATTAATAGGTGCTTGAAAACAGGCTGAAATATAGAGAATTCCTTGTGTGAGATTCACTGATACTTGCTGATATTATTAATTTTACGTGGGATGATTCTGCAACCCTCGTAAGCATCAATTTGGGTAAGTAACTGGCGTCGTAAAAAACCTGCCGCGCAGTGCACTAAATTTTGCGGGCATATGATTAAACAAATGACTTTTTAGGAAATGAAAAAAATTATAATAGACATGGGCGAGATTCATAATTTGGATAATACATTTTCGGAGGTTGCAAATGGGAAAAACCAATAATGCAGGATATAAACAATAAGTAATAAGTAAATAAGTATAAAAATTCAAAGACGTTTTGGTATAGCAAATCATTTCTAGTTGGATTAGTGTGTGTGGTTATTGTTTATGGAAATTTAATATATGAGAATTCTTTGCGCTCCTCACCAGTTTATTGAGGCAATCGAATTTGGAATCAATTTGTCGTTGACTAGATAGGGTCGTATTATGAAAAAATAATAATCAGAAATTACGCTTATTTTCACACAAAGTTTATTCACTGTCCTCTATCACAAACCATCACGTGTATGTGCTTAAAAGGTTATTTTGACTAAATTTGTATCAAACCGTCGTTGGGGGCAAGACGGCTATGAGACGGCTAAATCGTATTACACTTTTTTGCTATATGTTATCAAATTTATATTGCAATTTCCAAATTTGATTGTCTTGATGAATTGGTGTAAGTGTGCTTTATATTCGTGGGTATACAATTTGAAAATTTTGTAGGTTTAGTCGATGTGGTGGTATATATGCATTTAAAGTGTGCGGAATTATAATAATAAAATGTTCTAGCAAAATTTAATTAAATTTTTTTAGATATCGCCATGGCTATTGATATGACCTTCCCCTATAATTAGAAATTTGTGGCCGAGGATATTTATTAGTGGGACTAGTATGTAAACAAAAGGGAGTCACATTTTACGTAGAATGCTGATGTTGGGTCATTTTTAAACAATAGCGCAAATAGTATAAAGGTGATAAATGAAGTTCGTTTAGCAAAGAAATTAGACTATGCGTGTATCAGCGCAATTAGCGAGCGATGCTTTTATTAAAGCAATATATGTTAAAACCCAACAACTTTTAAAATATAAGACGTTAAATATTAAAAAAAGAAAAGAAAAGAAAGCCAAATAAAGGCAGTGGTTTAAAAAAAATTATATATAATAAAATTTAATGCATTGACAAATATTTCCCTAACAATGGTCTGCTCAAATTTATTTTTGCGAGTTAACTTTTGAGAGGCCAAATCTCGCAGGATTGCTCGTCTGGATTTGAAGGTGTTGCGATGATTGTTTGGTGGAGGATTTTAATTGCTTTGACATGGGCGTCATTATTTCTTCACTTGAAACCAATGACTTGAATCCGTTTCGGATGTGGTGGAACCAGCGAGACGGGATTGTGAGGGGGAAGCTGTATTATTTTTGGTTTGTTACTGGTAAAGTTGTTTTGGGTATAACGAAAGTAGAATCTTGCGGTTCACAGTAATCGTATCATTATACAACTCTACTGCGTTCTCAACTTTAATACGAGTACCGGAATTGCACACCTTTGTTCGATGGCAGGCAATGCTTGTTGAAAGGAATCTGGTAAGAAAAGTGGGGTGATGCATCTAATTCAAACAAATTATCGTAATCAGTAAGTGAGGATATAATGACAAAAGTCGGTATACGCTGATGTAAGTCGCGTTTATAAATATTTTTGTTATATCGTCGAAATGCATGTGACTAAATAAGTTGGTCATTGATTGTACGATCAACTGGCGAAAAATTTATTAATTCGATTGGTTTGAGTAGAGAATGATACGATTACAAATTAATGGTTGGCAAGCTTACCATGAGCGCAAGAAATTTGTTGGACATTCTGGGTAAATGTATTTGATCAATCGACATTGTGAAAAATTCCAGAATAATTGGCGTATACAGTCGAGTGATATTGTAATGCCAACAATTTGTTAGACATTCTAGAATTATGAAAAAGTGAACAGTTGTGGCGTATATGATACAAGACAGGTCGTATAAGACATTCAAATCTATAAATGGATGGCGTATAATTAGAGGTGTCGGCGTAGACCATTTAAGTGTTAGGACATATCGATATTAATATGGCTTGGCGAATGTGATTGATTTGAATTGAGCCAATAAAAAGTGTTGACATACGTAAATCGGAAAATGTATGGGTAAGTTATTCACGACAAATAATGATAAAATAGTAGTGTTGCAATAATGATAAACTTTTGATACGATTGGAAAGAAAGTCTCAAGGGAACAAATAATATAATGATGGACAATACGAATGAAAACTTTTGACAAATATTTATCAATGGTAGAGAAATCGGTTGACAAATTGTCGAATATGGGGAGCCATACTAGAAATAAAATACAACGTATAGTAAATAAAATAATTGGCATAATTTTTATTATGGTATTATAATGCAATAGTTATAATTATTAAGAAATAAATAAGCTGCGAGATATGGGAAAGCATAAAATTCCAGGCGCATTTTTTCTTTGCGAAATTCGCGGAAAAACCAATATTAGGAATCTTTTTTTTTCGTATATAAACAACCTTTGTCCGTAAGCTTATGCATAATAATAAGTAATAAGCTATAAGTTATAAGTATAATTAAAAATTCAAAGGCCGTTTTTGTGGCGATCTTTTCCGAAAACTTAAAATATCTACAATACAAGCAGATATCATTGATGGACGGCGAATCACGAGACAAATAATAAGGGGTTGGATCTTTAAATTATGCTAATTATTGAAATTATTATCGATCGTATTATTGTAATCATTGTCTTTCTTTATTTTCGATAACGATACTTTGGTGTGAGAAAAACACTTGTGACTAATACACCATTTTACCTGACGCTTTTCAACAAACGTTACCACCCGCACATACAAAATCAATTTCTGAATTTTATCGCTTTGACACCTCCCAAATAATATCCGGTAATTGTCCGCCTTCAAAAAAGGCCTCTTTAACTATGCGATAACCATTGCAATCAATTTCCTTACCTTCCTTGCGTGTATTATGGCCAACTTATATATCCAGAAAAAGCTGCCTGCGTTGCATAGGAATAATTGTCAACATACGCTTTATTCCAATTATATCCTCCAAGTCAATAGAAAACCGCGCTCATATCCTAGCGCAACAAGCAAACTACCGACTTGTCATTGCAATCGATATGCCAATTGTTCGAAAATTGTACAGGCTGCTACTTCCAAATTGAAGGCACTTGCCCAAAGTGGTCCAACAATTTTGTTTGCGAGCCTACTAAGCCCGTACAAAAGAAAATGTTCATTTAGCATTGAACACTAAAAATTAAGCTTTTAATTATTCATACAATGTCAGCTATTCTGAAAACCGTACAAACCGCTTTCACAATATCGATTCAAGACATTACCAAAAATAGGGTATGTCTAAATTCCATTGGCCAAATTTGTATGGCAGCCAATAAACTGCAAATACAGGATCACGTTCTGCTCCGCTTTAGCCTTTCCCCAAAAAATAGTCCAACAAACCGTTTGCACTTGATTAACACAATAAGATAGGATTCAAACACACGTCTTCTGAATCATACAATTTCGGCGCTCGCATTAAAGCTGAGGACGCGATAGAGTGTACAACAATATGATTTACTATACCCCAAAACACTTCACCGATAACAGACCAGAATAATACAGTTGTTCCGCCGTGCTACTATCGTCCGAAACATATTACAAAATTTTCTACCAACAATGAAACCACATGTCATTGATTCCGCCACATCCGAATCATTTACAGTTTCAACGAGAAGTAATCCTTACCCACGTCGAAGCAATTGAAAAACCATCGCTAGCAATACATCCAGATCCAGGCAAACAACTCTGCGAGATTTAGCTTAATTTGCGGAAAATAATTGTCTAATTATTATTGGGGAAACATTTGTCAGTACATATAATTCCCTTCTAAACTCAATACATTTGTCTCAATAATCAATATATTTTACCATGCTATACTGTAGGTTCCTAACGTATATCACTCTAATAAAGCATCGGCTCTAATATGTACGTAGCTCTAATTATATGCTTCTTTACCATTTGCGTTGTTTAGAGGAAATATCCTAACATTAATGTTAACATTTTGGCTTATATACTAGTCCCACTAATTAATCGAATCGTTGTACTCCATATTGAATATCCTTAGCCACACGTTGACTAAAAATTTCTAATAGTAGGAAGAGTTTAAAGCAACAGAACATAATCCAATTTCCCCAGTTTCATTGGATTGCGAAAATCTACTCCGCTTTAGACATGCCCCAATTCTATCTTGAAGTATAAAAAATTTGTTCACGTTTGCATTGCGCAGCAGTTTTCTGCTATTCTTAAATGTTGGGTTGTAACACGATGGGAAAAAATTTTTTTTCTAGAAAAGTACAAAGGAAATTATTCTAATTGTATGATTTTACTGTATAACTCATCGCCAAGAACTTTTATTCGCGCAACGAGGTGTTTACTAAAGCCTGTTTTGAGCTGGTTTTATCTACTTACGGCACATACGAAGGAAGAGAATAAAACTCATGACTGAAATTGAATATTATACAGTATGACAAAGTTTACGCCTGTAATTGACATTTTGAGTAATTTCATTACCATGGATATCCCATATTTGAAGCAAGATGATGCTTTTCTATTTTTAATTCAATTCAAAGTGTGATTGGAGTAGAATAATTTTCCTCCCTCAATTAAGGGAAATAAAAATAATTACTGCGGCTATCATAAAGTTTAAATACGTGCCAGTCGAACCGTGCCGAGGAGATCCGGTTTTCGCCCTGGTTTTACACACACAATCATATTTATACTACCATTATGAAAAACCTACTGTTAACATCAATTTTTATAACGTTATGTAATTTCACTTTCGCTACAACACTCTTAAAACGGGGAGACGGATTAATTTATGCATTGCACGGTGGAGCAATGTTATCATCCAATTCATCTTTGGTAGAAAGGAACAGTACTTGCTCTTCCGGATATTACCCATGCCCAGATGGCGGTTGTTGCGAGAGTGAATGCTCCATGAGTTGCGGTACTTTTTTCTGTTGTCAGCCAGGATACCAATGTTGTCCAGACTCCATTTTTTGTTGTCCGACAGGCCTAGTTTGCGATGGTTTGTATTGTATCGAACCAGGGAGCTCGTCGACAACCCCAACGACAACCCCAACGACAGCACCAAATTTAGCACCAACGGCGTCATCATCAACACCAAATTCAACACCAACATCGATAATTATTACCTCCGACTCAACTACCTTATCGTTGTCATATCTGCCTGTAACCTTATCCATAATTCTAAGTTTTGCGCTTTTGGTTGTTGAATTGACAAAAGAAAACTCAATATTTATTTAAAACTTTATTAAACAAGATAAATTGTGGTATTGTAGTAGCTTGAAGTTTATTCAGAGCTTTTGATAAATTACGTAATATTTTTAATACAAGGTATTTAGGACTAGCCTATCATAAAAGATTAATTTTGAGATACAAAAATGAACGCTTGTTTGAAAAGTGGAGGGGCAAATTACCTTATTGAAAATCATTAAATATCGCATAGCTTTTACGTTGCATTACCGTTACAATACTGCAAACGGGATGCGAAAGACTTTCCACCCTAAGCAATCTGCTATCTATTTAAACAGCTGTGTTGTTTTTTTACAAAATGAGAATTGTCTCTTATTATCAATATATTCTCTTGCTGAACAAAGTAACTTTTAATATCAATGATAACGCTTGGCCTCAACGTACACAAAATGACGTTTTTGTGAAGCCACATGTGTCAACAGTACAATAATAAACTCTTGGAAGTACTGGCGCCCTCACGAAAAATTTACAACAGCTTTGTAACAATAACTACGCTTGATTCCATGCTTACTGGGTCGGTAAAATAAGATTGCTAGAGATGAACAATTAAATTATCCTTTCGAATTATTTTTTTCAAAAACTTTTTTTTTCATTCCCGTGACCCATCAAAAGCAGTAGTTGCAACTCTATTTCTCACACTAATTTAATCCCCGTAGTCGGTGAATAAACTTGCAAGTATACACGTATACAATCGACAGAAACTTATTCAATTATTCCCACATATCATTACCTTGGATTTTTTTTGTTATAGTGTAAGCAGATAATACTGGTAACGTCTGAAATTTATATTAACATTTTCTTATACACTAGAAGTTTATACAGTATCAATCGTGTAGTTTTGCGGGTCCAGAAAATTTGAATCGACATTATGAAAATATCTGCAGCCAATAAAAATAAATAGAGACGTGCACCTCATGTGAGAACCCGCCGGGATTCATTCTTCCTTCACATATGAAATACTGAATTCTGAAATAATATTGCAAACCATGAGACTGTAATTACCACTTTAAATTTTTAATGTGGTCAAATGCATAAAGGCATGCTGTTTTACTTGGAATTACATACATGATATACACCGCAGATGCAACTTCTGTGAAATGCTTGACAGTACCACAGCAATGAAGTACTGTACAATCTTGGGGTGTTGAAGTTGATGATGAATTTGGAACACTCTTGAAGCTCTCAACTACTTTCTCACAAAGATTCCGTAGCTGTAGTAAGAATAAAGAATAAACTTTTGTATTTGCCGGTTCTAATAGAGATCCAAGAACTATTGCCCGAAACATACGACTTTTGGTTTCTTTCTGTACGCACAACTTGTCGAATGACTTGATAATCAATATACGGCTTGCGAATCAATGTTTAGAATTAATCAATACTGTCTGTACGCTTTATTAAATATGGTATTGCTAGAAATAAATTGGTTGTGGACAAGTAATCTAAAAAAAAGTTATTCAATGTACAACTATTGTATAGTAGTAACAATAACAACTTAAATTATAACAAATATATAAATAGTGAATAACTATTGCTTCCAATCGGCATGCCAAGCAGCAGACTCACCATTCATCTCTAACCAGCTTCAGGGACAGATCCTTCACAAGCAGCTAAGTGACCACCGAATCAGTCCCTCAAACTCGATCCACAGCTCCACCAGAGTCCCATTGGATCCGATCTTCCAGCGTGCCCACCAGTGGAGAGAAAAAAAGGGAAAGAAAGAAGGGATAGAAAATAGAGTTAGTTTATAATGTAAAACAATGCGATACTTACCCAATACTTACCCAAAACCTTCTCTCCGTCATCTAAAAGCTGTATATTAAAAGAAGAAGAAAAAAGGAAATGTCCGTGAGTGTTCCGGGCATCCCCCGCGACCCACTCAACAGACCCGTGCCGGGATCTCTTCACCGCAGGCGAGCACTGGTGAAGGGTGAGCAGAGAGGCGTCACCGGTGACTACCCGCTACCCGATCCAGATCCGCGCCCGTCCACTGGAAGAGACAAAGGAGAGCAGCCACCTAGTGAACCAATTGAAAAACAATAGTTAGTCAATACTATTAATTTTATCTACCCATATAATAAATGTTAATTTGAAAGAGTGGACATTTGCACTCTTTTACTAAAAGTCCGTTATACCAATCGCGAATGTGCGTAATATAGAGTGGCGGCGGAGAGACGTATGTTCGAACTCATTCCTCGGTTGGTGATTGATAAACCGTATCGTTCGTGAGTTATAGTAAATTGTCGTGTGTAATACGGAGCGGCAGCAATAATTGTTTGTTGTATACGCTTTGGGATAGATGTTGCGAAGCGAGACACAATGGCGAAAAGTGCCTGGGTCGTATACGTGTGTCTGAACAGTTAGTGATCGATTAACCGTATCGGTAGTTCGTATGTGCTGTAAAGAATTGTTTGCGCTTCGGAGGTTGTTGCTGTTAAGCGATACACGTACAAAGATATGAGTATATATACAAGTAGTCGTGTGGTGGTCGATAACCGTATCGCTGGCTAGAAGACTTTTCGTGAGTTTTAGAAAACTGTCGTGTCATATGGAGCAACGGCAAAAGGTTGTTTTTGCTCTTTGCGCTTTGGAGGAGACGTTGTTGTTAAGAAACGTAGGGGTGGATATGTCTGACAGACGCGTGTTCGACTCTTTCATCAGTAAGCCGTCCGTCAGAGAACATTTTCGTGAGTCGTTGCAAACAGTCACATGTAATATAGCGTGGTGCAAGGGATTGTTCGTTATAAATTTAACAGCGTCGTATTTTCGCTTTGAAGAGGTTTGTTGTGAAGCGATACGTGTATAGCGATAAACCGAGTTTTGTTGAGTATTAAGAGTTCGTCGTTTGATGTGACTTGTTTCGTGTAGTATGTATGTAATATAGAGTTCTGACTGAAGATTGTTTGCTGCTATGTATTAAAGACCTTTGGAGGAGAATAGTGGGGTAGATGGTATATATATATATATGTATGTATGAGGAGACGCGTGTTTGCGTGCCTGCGTGTTTAGATGACGGAGGTGGCACATGTTGGCTGTTATCTACGCAGCAAGGGGTGTGAGAATATGACGTCGCGACTGTCGTGATTGTTTCCGTAAACAAGAACAATAGTATCAGTGTAACACATGCAGTAAAATTTGTAATTATCACGGGCTAACGATCAATGACATGATCCATTGCGGTACTTTTTTTACATTACCATAAACACGTGGTATTATACCATTCGTCGCCAAACGTTTTCGAAGTGAGTGTGACCAATTCCTAACATATTAAGATACGTTTTTTGACAAAGTGGCGTATTACGATCTCAATAGTAAAAAGTTCTTTTATTAGTTTTTCGAAACGGGCGACTGACAGTTAGTTCGCTACCATTCATTGCTTTCAACTGGGCCATTAAAATATATCTTGCTCAGGTCTAGAGAGATCTTGAAAGACTTTACGTAGTTCGGCAAACTTTTCTCTCGGAATCTTTTTTGAACATCCACAATTGCAACCGATATCCAGGAAACGCTGACTTTTTCATATTCAGTAGAACCATTATTATTATATTCACTATTTTTTATATACGGATAATCATATATATATATATATATATATATATTAATATTAATAAATTTATACCCAGCGTTTTTGATGCCCTGACCAACTTTGGAAACATATACAAATGGGTCAAAAGCTTTCTAAGAACTGATGTCCTCTGTATATGTAGGATGCATGTCTCATCAATTTTTTTTTTCATGCATATTTCGTGTTTCCTTTTTTTGATGAGAAACAAAATTGACAAGTCTGATGTTTCATTCATTTTGTTCCCACTTTTTATTACCTAAATTAGATATTCAACACAAATTTGGAAAGTGAAAAAAATCGGAAAACAGGTTGATCACCCGATGGTAGTTGGCACAAAATTTTGTGAATCACTGGATGACATTATAACTAACAATGTTGTATTCTAACAAAGTTGGATAAAGGTTTGTTCCATATAGAGTTACAGAAGACAAGTTTGAGGACTGAACAAATTGCTTCAGATGTCAGGACATCTGCTTACTTACAGTTGATATTAGAGCAACCATCACATTGCTTCTCCAGTTATGCCCTATTCAAGAGTGTTACACGATCGCTCTCCCTAGTGTATAGTGTGACACTACGACAGTTCATTTCTACAAGCGCTTATCTTTTTGCTTGGTGTGTTTATTTTTGGTCTAGAAGTGTTATTCAATTGAGTTTGCTAGAATACATTCACTTCAAATTGTCTCTTGTTGTTGTATGCACAGAATGAAAAAATAAAATAAAATAAAATTTCCAAGCTGACAGACATTGCACGCATTACTTTTAAATTAGACGAAAAGATAATAATGGTTGTAAGACAATACTGTCATTATTATTATAACTTGAATAGTGATCGACATTGAGCTCTCTATTACTATTATTTTCAACTAGATATTAACAACGACTGATTCTAAACTCATCTGAAGCGTATACCTCATGGTTGTTATTGCGAACAAGTCTAACCTCAACGTGATAACTATGTTCGTTCTTAAGACCCAGAGGAATTCTGACGGTTTTTTCGCCCGCTGAAACCGGAACATTCACCGGTGGAGGCGAAAATGGAATAAAGCGTACGCCAGCTTCAACCAAGGTAAATTCAGTAAAAGTAAGACCGTCGTATAATTTGAATGCTGTAAAAAGAATATTATTAAATATATATTAGATGCTTAGAAAAAAAACCAAATAAAATAAATTATGGTACGGTAAAATGCTTACGGTCTTTCCATCGAATCTTAAGTTTTCCGCCACACTAAATAATAATAAATATGCATTTATTAATATGTAATCAAAATAATTTGATCAATAAACCCTTAATTTAAACTTTTCCTACATGAGCATTTGTATCCGTGACAGGTTTGGTAATAATTAAACCGAAACCAGGATTACCGATAGTGAAAGTTGCAGAAGCAGCAAATATTGGGCCATTAACTCCTTGGCCACGGACTTGAAATACGTAAGAAGGAGAGATGGGAGGAGGTGTAGATGGATGGAACTTATATGTGATGCACTTTCCTATTAATGTTGAAAAAAAAAACAAACAATAAATTAATAGTTATTTGTAATAAATGCTCATGATAGCAGTACAATAGTAATATCACTCACCTGGTTGTACTAAAATATTTACTGGAATAGTGTCAAAGAAAGGCAATTCGCTTGCAAGACTTATAGAGTCGATTGCGGTAACCCCGCGTTCGGGGCACATCTTGATAGTAATGTCCTTCCCGACAGGAAAAACATTTCCCTTTACTTTTTAGTGAGCCATTGATATTTAGTCTTTTTATTAAATAATGAAAATTTTAACGTAGAAGTTACCGGTTTAAAAAATAACATGCAATTGTCATAATTAAGCTAGTAATGATGGATTTTAATAGCACAATATACGATAGTTACACATTCTTTTTTAAATTCCGGCAGACATAACTATATAAAATAATACCTGGCTTGCGAATTATAACGGTTGGAAAGACGGCGGCGCCAAAGTGAAAGAGAAACGACAAGATTAAAAATATAACAGTAATGCGATTCATTTTAACGATTTGATGGAGCCGCACTAAGAGACTTAAGCACGAATGTTTAGCCTTAAATACCTTTTTTACAGATCATGTCACAGGAAAGGCTTGTGTAATTATAGTGTCGTGATACATATCACCGCACAGGGGGTTAGGAGCATAAACTGTTTGTAATCTCCTTATTAAGCACTTTTTTGTATTAAAAATAGTTCAATCGAATAGTACGTTTAGTTCGCATCACGCCGATACGTTACTATGTTGCCAAAAATAAAATTGCTCAAAGATGACAAATGAGAGTTCCAGGAAGCTCAAACAAATGCATGACATCGCAGTAAGCTAGAAAGGGGGTCTAACAGAGTCGTGTAGCTTACAGTCGTAATTTCAATTCGGCAAAAGCTGGATTAAGATGAATCGAAATCGTAACTTTCAAGATTGAACAATTTCTCGTAGTCAAATTGACAATGTCTACTATGCAGCCATTCGCAACATCAGCTTTTAGAGAACAAGTGTTTTCAATTACCAGTAAACGCTTGCACCATTTTTCTCAAGCTTATACAATTTAACGTTTGCTGACTTGACAAGTAACATCTGCTGTCAAATCAACACGACAGATGTGTTACGGGCTTGCACACACAAATAATCTCTTACGCTAAAAATGCAGAATAGCCCAAATTTCATTTTCATGACGGCCTGTGAGTTAACTGTTGTAAATAAACGAGATGATTTATCTCACCTCACCCATCATTAGTTTGTCAATAGTCAAGCCTTTTTAATTTCAATATTACCTTTCAAGTATTGAACTAGAGTGAGAATAATATAAGTTTAGTCTTTTGCTGTATTGTTTTAAGGGGAAAACGACTTTCGTGCTCATGCATTGTTTTGTTTAATAATCTAATAATTCAGTAGGATCGTTCAGTGATTGTCATATTTCGTTATCCGTTCGTTGCCTGATATCTGACAGTCGTATTACAGTAACAAGAGTTAGGTGTAATTGTAGATCGACTTGCGCGCAAGTAGAACATGTGCTTGTCTGAAAGCGCACGTTATGTTCGTTCATTAGCAAATAAATATTAAATATGTCTTTGTTTTTTGCTTTATTTTGCTGTTTCAATGCCCATTCTATTGGGTAATGGTAGCGTTATGAACCATAGTTCTTACAATAATAAGAGTTTTTATAACAGCCCTCAACTGAGACAGGTTCCCAACTGAGGTACAACATGTATTAGATGATTAGTGCACTATTTGAATTGTAATGTTTATGCAATAATAATAAGCAATCCAGCATAATAAATGACGATACTATCTATTTCGAAGTAACGGAATGGAATATAGTGTGAGAAAAAAATTTATTTTCCGAAATAGGAAGTTTGAGCAACGGTGAGAAAAATATTTGCTGTATATGCATCGACGTCTCCTGTTTCTTGCAAACAAAGTGATCAACAAAGAATTTCCAGAGGAGATCAATTACCTGAAGAAAGTGCAGCGAACATTAGAGTAAATTTTTCGTTCCCAAGAGCATTTGTTTAATAAAGACGAACCTATCAAATGTTAAAATATATTAATATTTAAATTAATGTATACTTTATACTTACTTTATACTTATACGTATACTTATATTTATATGTATACTTATACTTTGAGTTATAGAAAAATGGCCCCGCTTTTGGCAGCAGGAGACTAATTAAATTTATACCGATACCTTCCGAATTTGGCGATTACGTCACGATTTATATAAATCAAATCGACGCCCAATATTAAATATCGTATTGCAGTAGAGTAGTGAAGTCGAAATTTATATGAGATGAAAATTTTACTACCACATATATATTGTCATTCATAATGTGAATAATTCATAACTCATATAACACTGTATTTGTTCTAGAAGGTTTGTATATAGTTTAGTGGCGGTGACGCTTCCGGCGGAGCTTTTATTGATGGCTATTCTTATGATAATTAAGGTATCACCGTTTAATGGAAGGCTGTCTTTAATCTAGAGCAGATGTTTGTATTTTGAACTAATCATTTAAATGTATTTATATATATACTAATACGTAACAATCGCTATCACTTTAATTAATAAAGGGGATCTGTGTTTGACAAAACCATGCGTAATTTTGTTTATCTCACCAGGTTAAATCATAATCGGAACGTAGTAAGAATTAAGCGAGACGCCGTTGATCGGAGTGAGGAAGAGCTATCTGATGCGAAAGTAGATAGAGACGAGTCGAGTCGGAAAATGGTGGGTTTCCGATAACGATGATATTCCTTGGAAGCAATGAAAAATGTATACATCACTTGTGAATGAGTTTGCTAGGATACATTCACTTTCGATACACGAGCACAGTAATAATGTCACGATATTCCAGATAGTTTGAGCTTCGCAGCGAATTAATAAAGGGGTTTACTGCATACAATAATAACTATTACATAATTGCTAAACAATTATCCGATAGATAGACTAACAACAATAGCAACTCGATGAGTTTATTAAGAAGTCTCAGTTACAAACAAACTCAACGAACGACGCTTATTTGGAATGGATCCATTAATTGTATCCGTCATACGGAAAATGAATTACTTGTTATTATCTAAATTAACATGAAATCAATTACATTAATTTATTCTGCCATCGATCAGTCCATATTAATATGTTGACGCGGTTATTACTGTGAAATACGGTCAAAAATTTCTCTAAATGCCTTCTACTGCAGTTCTAATAAAACCCTACGAAAATGTCATTCTTGGTCTGTCGCTGAATGACAGACAAATGCTTCCAATGTATGAATGGAATGGAACGTGAGTGAGTGTATGGATAGAGGATTGAATATCTTGTGGAGGGGTTGTACGTGTTGTTGTTGAAAAGGATCGGGTAAAATATTGTATGATGGAATGGACCAAGTCGATGATGTATTAAAAACATCTTCATAATCTGCAAGGAAGAATAAATGCAGGATTTTGATCAGAGATGTTATCAACTTTAGCTTCGATCATTTCGGCGATTGCGCGTTTATCTATCCTATATACGAAAATCATCACTCGTATCCAAATAGAGTACTACGACATAATATAATAATAATAATAATAATAATAATAATAATAATAATAATAATAATAATAATAATAATAATAATAATAACAGCAGAACTGAAAGGAAATATCTGTTTAAATTTAACTTTGATTTGACACAAGTTAACGAGTTTGCCTTGTACTTTTTTTTTTCTCATTTTTAGTAAAGTCAACGCGTTAGATCCACTGGAGAAACCAAGCCAATTGAAGACTATAGTCAGAAATGCAAAAAGTATATAAAACTAAATAAATAAAAGAAAAGAAGAAAGGTGTCATCATATCTCCATAGTAATAGGTAGTAGTAACGCTAATCGGAATTGTACAACTTGGAATTCAATCAAGAAATATACCAGTCCTATAACTAGTCACACTTTAACGCTCTTCACATTACTTTTTTTTTATTGATACCATTATCAGTGGTTGGTAGGGTGCAGAGGGTCTTTTGGACAAATCCTTGGAGATTCGAGTTCTTTATACGCCAGAACCTCTTAATGAGCATAATATGTCTATTACCACGTTTAAAATATTATCACAGAGCAAAGCATCCACATCATTTGTCCTTTAAATTAATGCTTGACTTTTATAATAGACTCGCCTACATTATTAATTATATCAGAAACTAATGTTTCGTTCGATTGAATAGTCAAGAAAATACGGTATCTTTATCATCATATATACACCGAAGAATACACGTAGCATAGACTGTTTCTCACAAGAATAAATAATTATATAGTTATATGATATTAATCTAATAATGTGTTAATGACAAATTTTTACCTTTTCCAAGGTTTATTAATGACATTACTTCAATCACATCCCGGCAAGAACTTTGTCTAAATCATGTTCGTTTGCTGCGACAAGATGAAGAATATAAGTCGGTGGAGTACAACGCATACAGTAACGATTATTCATATGTAAATATGACTTACCGGTCGGATCGTTAGCTGACGTTCCAGTGTCTACTGGAAATTTCGAAAACCATACTGTAAGATCATATGATAAAGAATATAATCCATTCTGTCTTCTTTTTTCTTTATTTGTAACACTCACCATTAATTTCGATACTGTCCAAAAGCTTATCTAATTCTTCAAACAGATTTTCATCTTCTCCATCTCCAATACTACTCGATCTATCTCTTGCCTTACCGTTGGTAAATTCGTCGTTCAGCAACCCTTCACTCTCTTCCGTCCCTTTCTCCTCATATCTATCCTTTTTCTTGTAGCTATCGTTATTGTTATGATTAGGTCCGCCAATAATTCTCTTCCCAACCTTCTCGGCCAGATTTTTTCCTTCAACGAACAACGCATTAAATATCTCCCTGCTGAGCCCTTTCGATCGTTCTTCAATTGGTTCAGAGAGATTGAACGAAGAAGCAAATTCGTGGTCTAAGAAACGTTCGAAATATTCATCAGCAAGCACGAGCATACGGAACTCGGGAAGTGAAAGAAAGAAATCTGGAGCGGATGTTGGAGACGGAAGTGCTGCCGGAGATTGCGGCGATGAATTAAACTCAGGCCCTTTGGACTTGACGTCGGCGTACTCAAAAGACCTCCTGATAAAATTCGACACTGATCCTAAATGACCATCGTCTTCTCTTTCCCTGCAAATGAACAACAGACTTTCTCCCATCTGTAATACCTCCTCCTTTGACAGATTTTCATCTCGATCAACATCATGCAGTTTAAAGAACAACTCAATCGTTCCCATCATGTCTGTGAATATAATCTCTGCTAACCCGATAACTGCATCTTGTAATGAAATCCCGCCAGCGTTGGATTTATCAAAGTGCGTAAACAGTTTGCTGATAAATTGATGACCCACTATTCGACGGCCATGACGATCACGTACTTCCTCACCATTCGTTAGCTCTCCATCATCCATTTTCGCCCAAGAGGCAATACTACCCATAAACTGATAGAACGTGTTCAGATCCATTCGGCTGTCGGTACGCGTACTCTTTTTCGACCCGTAGAACTGCGCAGTGTAGAACTTATCATAAATTATAGACAAGTGGTCTTTTGTGAACTTTGAGGTATTTTTAAGATTACGTATTTGACTTCGCTTTGTAAAGCTTTCGATATTATGTACTACTTTGAGTTGTTCTGTCTTGCGTAGTTCAGCAACTTTCTCATCAGTTATCGAAGAGAAATCTCTATAGGCTATGTTCATTAATTCGGTGAATTTGTTAACGTCACGCAATTCACGATTTTTCGGGTATGCCGGTTGATCGAGTGTCGCAAAATAAGATTTAAGCACATGGATAAACGCGCCATCATCGGTTACTTCCAGGAGTTCTTTAGCGTTGATCTTTAGAATAGCTAAAAGTAGTTGTTGAAATGATAACGTAAAAGTGAATAAAAAGTCCAATGCGATAAACGAATCGATTAAGACTTGTTGCAACTTACCTAATCTATATTTATATGATACAGCATTGACAAAGGTTTTAGTCAATATTAGAATCATTCAAATCAATGCTAGTGCGGTTTTTCGCGCTTCATGATGTTGCTAATCGCAAATACACTTACCCGATTTGAAATAAAATCTTTGGTCCGTCCATAAAAAATATATCTAGCACCCGATAGGCAAATATCAATGGCATCGAATTGATATACAAACTCAAAAACCAGGGCAAGCATGCCACCGACAGTTGTATGTCTGCATTCTTAAAGTGTTCGTACAATATTGTCATTGTCTTTTCCACGAACTGCTCGAATATCATTTGATCGAGTATAGCACCATACATGGAAGTGCTATAATAACCTGGTAGCATCCTATCACAGAGAATGCTAAGAGTCCAGAATGTTTGTTCTTCGCTCATGTATATTAGAAGAGCAGAGGCGACTATATTCATCGCCTGGCAGTAGCCCAGTTCAGGGTCTTTCCAAGAATACGCAGTTAACACACGACGGAGCGTGTTTATACCTTCTGGCGTTTGATATGCGGGATACTCTGGAAGCGACCTACGAACGAATGATTAAGTAAATTTCATTTATATAATGTTTGTGCATAAATAAAAGACATTCGACCAACCTGTTAAGATCCTTCTCAATCTCTTCGGTAGATAGCGATACCTTACCGACGTTGTCTTCATGTAATTTCTCGTATAATCCATTATTTGTGTACCTTAGATACATCGCGCCAGAACACAATTCCCATATCTCGCCACGCAGTTTATTTGGCAAACCGACACGCGTCAATTTAGCAAATTTAGTAGATTTTACGAGTGTAAGGTTTCTACCATTATCTAGTGTTATAAAACAAGGACACGACGGCAGAAGATAATTAGTCAAAATTTTCGTAAAAACCGAGTTAAGAAATGGACGAGTGAAATTTGAGTACCTTTGAAATAGTCTGTCCACAATTTCAGCTTTCGCTTATCACGACTAAAATATTATATCTTACGAATTAGAAATTAAATGTTCTCTCCCAATGACAAAACGAAATTATATCACTAAATCACATTCAGACAAACCTACTTCTTCACGTCAGTAGGGAATCCAAAAGTCAATCCCAGCCCACCATTTGAGACATCTTTGGTTGGATCCACTAATAATGCTTCAGAATAACAAGTATTCAAGAACGTTTTCAATACTTTCATATAACGCACTTGGTTCTTCAAGTTCATCTTTAAAGTATTACAAAACTGTTCACATTGTTTTTTTTCACCACCGAGTTGGAAAATTAATTTCATTTGATGCCATGTCAAGACTGACAATGCAAATGCGTAAAGTCGACTTTGTAATTTTTCTACTCTTCTAATTGTGGACAATGGCAAGACTAGACTACATTCTCAGCCATTCGACATGAAAGTAAGATATGTTTCCGAGAGTCTGACCTTTCCAGAATGAGATTCCTTTTTCTCCGGCATTGAGAACATTGCGTTGGATTCTTCGAGCAAATGTTCTGATGTTGGTAGAGCAAACATTGCTTGGAATTCACTATCTCTCTTCTGCACTTCTAGCCCTTTAATCAAAGGTGGTATCATTGGTGATCTTGGTACGTCTTCCTCTTTATTATCCTTGCTTATACTGATTCTAAGGTCTTTTTTATTTTTGTCATTGTTGTTGCTTTCAGCGGACTGCTCAAGGTTATTGTCAGATAATGACATTCCGGGTGTTGATTCTGGAGTTGCATTTTTGAGCAGTCGTTGTACGGACAAGCTCGTTAATTGCACCAATAAATCATATGTCTTAACATGGAAATAAAGAGCGCTATACTTTAGTATCGAGATACAACTAGAAATAATACACATGAATATAACGACCGACCTCATCACGGTGGAAGAGATTACTGAAAAAATACTAAAAATATAACAGAATGTGGTTAGCAAAGCTTGTTAGATTATGTTTTTGCCGTTTTAGCGTTCGTAACTTACTTCTTGTCCGTCTTTGGTAATGACTTTAATGGAATCAGATATCATTCCGCGTTTAGATTTCTCTTTCACCAAGTCTCTTATATCTTTCAGTTCGATTAATAGTTTCGTCTCGATTCCTAACAGAAACGAATAAAAGCACAAATAATTTTCGCTAATATACATCCAGCCCTGATTGGTAATGCTTCTATAATAGGCGCAAGAATAAACTGAAAGAAAACGCGTAATCAGCCCGTTAGCTTATTTTAATGATTGCACCGTATACAACGCACTTACAATTGACTAGTCTCTCAGTTGGAGATACATCAAATGTCTGCCGAAATGCTCTCGAAGCAGAGCGCACGCTTTCATCTTCAGATACTTCGTCAGTTCCCCTGTCTGTGGTTGAAGTTTATCATTAACAAGTCAATCACACCAACGAATCCAATTATTTACTTTCCCACATGAACGCCCAAAGTAAACTCGATAGACCAAACTGGTACCCGAATTAAACTTATAGCCCATTCTTCGCTTGTTTTTTTTTTTTTTTGTGTCAAATACCTTGTCTCGTTACCAGAGAATTTATTTTCGTTACGACATAGTTCTCTCTCTCAGAGGGATCATCCAGCTTACCAAGTCCAGCTTGGAGGTTGTCTATGATAAGTAATCAGAAGATTAATTCGGTAAATCAATTGTGTCAAACGTACACGCAATAAAAAACTCACCTGTAGCCCAGCTCCAAGCATCATCGATACCCTTTTCAGTCTGAGATACTGCAATTTGTAGCGCAAGGCCATTGACGTCGCTACGAAATAACAGTCTAAACGGTGGTTGTTTTGTGTCAAATCTTAAAAAGACAACGTATATATAAATGATTTGCTCAATCACAGGCATTACAAGCAGCCAACAGAGTCATAAACGTACACATTTTGGATAGTACCAAGAACACCTCGTAAAATAGCGTTTTTCGATCCTTTCGTTCGTTGTAAAACAAAGTGGTCGTTCGTCTTTACAGGTTCCCAGAACGCATTATTCAAGTCGCAAGGTGTTGGTAGCGTGAATACACCACGCGGCGGATCCAAGTGAGAATGACTCATTTATGCGTGCGCAGAGAACGGAATATTCAACATTCAAGAGTTCTCATGTCAGAAATCAAATTAGGAAATTAATAATGAATAACGATACTGGTACAAAGTTTGTGTATTACCCTATTCAGGTATTATCATACGGCTCCGTAGCAATAGATAGAAATTTGTAGCCGATTACACAAACATCAATTCTAATATAAATGATAAAGTCTATGTCGAAAAGATGACGGGAATTTGGTTCAACATTGCATTGGCTTAAAATAAAAGCAAAGACTAATCATAATGATTTATGATATTAAACCGCTTGCTGTGGTAATCCATATTTAGTGAAACAAATATCAATTGTACAATCGACTGTCCAATCGTATTTTCATTGTGTTATTGCTTTGGTATAGAATTTAGTCGGATATCTATTACGGACAGATTAGCCAAGTCATAGCAATATAACTCTTCCTCTATGGCTGGTCCTTTTTATCGATAGTGTTATATTGAACGATACATACTTAATATTGTATCCACGATCCAAAATCACGTAATTTAACCTATGCGAGCTGAAGAATTGTGATAAATTGTAAAAAGTTTCCTGATTATACGCGTTTTCCTTTTAAGACGTCGGCTGGTCGTTCATTGCTTTCAGCTAGACTGTTTAAAATATATCTTGTTCGGATCCTGAAACGCTTCACGTGACTCGGAAAACTTTTCTCTCGGAATCGTTTTTGAGCAAGTACAAGTACATATTTGGTAAACCATTCATTATTCTTAGTCTTGTATAAAATTTATTGCTTTGAAAATTTCATAAATGACATATTAATATGTTCTTTTGCAAATATTCTGTTAACCACGATTATCGGTACAGCCAGTCAGAGATTTGTAACTCTTGCCCATTTTCAGATAATTCACATGCTATGCACACGATGACAGAATGTGACCTTAAACATTAAAGATATTTTGGTTCATCTTGTGGGGTTTGCTGAGGAAACTACATATAGTTGGTTTTACTCAAGCTGTCATAAACATGAATGGAAGAGCAGCTCCACCATGAGATAAGGACATTGGAGGGATGGCATCAGCTGCAATATAGGCTAGGCCTGGCACGCTGATGTAGCTGATGGGACTGGTGACTTTAATTTTAGATGATTTGTAACAAAATGAATGTTTCAACTCTGGACTTCACTACTACCTTACCGGTTGTTCATAAAAATGTCATGAAAAGTAGAAATTTAAGAGACCTTATACTAATACTCAAGTCTGAACAAGCTATATGATGAGAGTGATCACGTATGTATATGCTCTAGGAAGCTAACGTGAATTTGCGGTACCGCCACATCATAATCAGTAAACTTAATTTATATACTAATTGATCTTTGTGCGTATAAATTGTCTCACATCAATCTTTTCCTATTTTCACAAGCAATCAAACAACTGAAACATAATAGTATGTCAGACGACAAATCGGTACAATTATTAACATGTATTTACTTCTGAGTGATCAAGGTACACGTAGCACCAATCTTAATTTAGGTATTCGATGATGGTTACAAAGTTTTTACAGAAATCTTGATATTAATATGTAGAATTTCAAATAATGGTTTAGATTTACACGCTTGTAGTTGAATGGCGCAATAGTTATTGTCGGATCGTAATGCTAAATCTTATCCATGGGGACGAAGCATACAAACCGCCAGTATCTTTCACGTTTCAGGATTCCATTAATAGCATAGTG